TTTGCGGTACGCGGGCCTCTCACTGTTGTGGCCTCTCCCGTTGCGGAGCACAGGCTCTGGACGCGCAGGCTCAGCGGCCATGACTCAACGGGCCTAGCTGCTCCGCAGCATGTGGGATCTTCCCGGACAGGGACACGAATCCGTGTCCCCTGCATCGGCAGGCGGACTCCCAACCACTGCGCCACCAGGGAAGCCCCTCCCAGACATTTTAAGAGTCTTTATCCTTTCTGTAGGAGCAGGCATGTCTAAGAGTCCTAGTGGGCCAGTTGAAGACTGAAAGGAGAAGTAAAGAGAACGGGCTGAAGAAGATTCACGTGTCCTCCTCAACCATTTGCTAGTCCAAGCTTCTAGTCAGATGCATTCTTGGAGCCTTTATTTTCTGATTTAGGGACATTTTACAATAGTCTCACTTTAGGTATATTTTACACTGTTCTTCCTTTGTAGCAGAAATGTTGAGATTACCTGTTCTTTAAACATGGACCATAAAGTCTTTCCTTAGAAACTGACTCTGCCTTATATGCTGCTGCTGGTTTTGAGTAAATGGGCTTGAGTCTTGCAGCCAAGCCTCAATGCAAACAAAAATATTTTCTGGTCAAGCATTTTCTCATTTGTTCAACTCCATTACAGGGTTGGCTTTAAAAAAAAAAGTTAGAACCCACAGAAGAGCAAAACACAAACCCTGGGAAGACAGTTTCCAGCCACATTAGCTCAGATCACCAGGGTAGAAAAGAACCAGGGCCTTCATTGTCGAGACCATCGTCATCTCCACTCTCATCTTATGTTCTTCTGCTATTTTAATTTCACCACTTCAAAATGGGGGGGAAAATAGGTTAATAGTTTCCATGAGTTTAGACTGTGGCCAGAGGCATACTAAGCAATTTCAGAACCTCCAGCAACCGCAGCTTGGAGGAGGGTTTGGTGATGGATTTACTGTCCTCTGGATTCCAGAGTTAGGGGAATCGGGCCAGCACTGTGACGCCAAAGTGGGATGTAAACAATATTCCTTCCTTCATTCTTTTTGCACATCTCCATCCTGAGTTTCTTTTGATTCCAGGTAGTATACTGGGTGAAGCGTAGAACAGAGAAATACATTCTTAAGACATAGTCACTGCCCTTAAAGAACTGCAGTATAGTAGAGGAAACAGACATATGTGCAAATAATTTCAGTACAATGAACACTCTAAGTGCTTTAAGCAGCATGAATTAAGTGCTCAGGAAGGGGAGAGAAAGAAGCAATTTTTTCCAACTGAAGGTATTGAGGAAGGCTTTACCGCCTTCAAAATAGCAAATTGTGATTCCTTCTAGCATTAGCCAATGCACAGAAATATGGAAGTTTCTCATAGGTTTGAACAGAAGTGAGCAGTCTGAGACATCAGGGGAATCTGAGCCTAAAAAGGGAGTTCGCATGTCAGGTAAGGAACGAGCTACTTTCACATTGTGGAGCCATATAAGTTTTTCTAGCAAGAAAGCTGCTTGGTCACATCTGTGTTTTAGAAAGGAAACTGGAAGTCATTGTGAGGATGGGCAAGTGTTACAGGACGAGAGATGGAAACAAGAAGCCAGTCAGGAACTGTTGCTGTAGTTGTCATCATCACACTAGTTATCTACCTATAGGCACGCCTTGCCTCATGCCCATTTAAAGGTTCTAGTGGTAAGAGGGAAATTACTCCTTGATTTCCACATCCCTTCGACTTCTGCATGTTTCTAATCAGACCCCCATCCCAGGTTTATTCTAAATCGTAAACTCATTGAGTCCAGACTTCTCAGTTGGAAGATAGCATATTACATGTGAAACATGGCTATTGGTAAGAGAGCATGGTATTCTAGGCAAGGATGGAAAGTTAACAGCTAATTGTATCAATCTTTCTGAGTCCTGACTCAATAAATCGTATCCCTTTTAAAGCGGGGGCGGGGGGGATTTATTTTTAAAGCTGAGCATATTTTTAAAGCCAAATAAATTGACTTTCTTAATTCATTTCTCAAAACTGGAACCCCTCTAGGTTCAACATTTCCATCAAGAGTTCACAACACTAAGCGTGGACATGGTGTTTGAATCAAGGCTTTAAATGATCAAAAGCCTCATTGATTATGCTGAGCTCTGATTGGGTTCTGCAACCAGCATGCTCTCTACAAGTCTGGGTCATCAGAAAGACCACTCTGAAATGTTAAGGTCCTTGGTGACCCCGCTAGGATTTTGATGACTGATCAAGTTTTAGAAGTAATAGAGAAGTATTCTTCCAGTGGAGAACCTGGATTGTGTAGTTCAGGGGTCAAGAAACTATCGCCGTGGCCAAATCCAGCCTGCTTTTGTAAATAAAAGTTTTATTGAAACACAGTCATGCCCATTTACTTACACACTGTCTATGGCTGCCTTCCTGCCACTACAGCAAAATTGAGTTGCTCTAACAAAGCTAGAAGTATTTACTACATGGGCCTTTACAGAAAAGTTAGCTATTACCCCTGCTGTATTGGAAAGGAACACGAGTAGAAGTCAGACAACACGAGTTCTAAATCCTAGATTTGCCACCCAGAACCTGCATGACCTTAGAAAAGCCACTTGATCCATCTGTGTTTCATTCTCTCTGTAATGAAGATATATACTCTGCCTTCCTCCAAATACTGTGATAAGCACATGAGCCCATGTGTTCTGTAACAGTGCTTGTCATTCTATAAGTTACTACATAAATGGAGCTCTTCACGTCTTAGCCTAACGTTGGCGTTTTTCTTTTCCTCCTCAGAATACCCTGGAGCAGTGCAGCGTGTGCTCCAAGCCCATCATGGAGCGGATTCTCCGAGCCACTGGGAAGGCCTATCATCCTCACTGCTTTACCTGCGTGATGTGCCACCGCAGCCTGGATGGGATCCCGTTCACCGTGGACGCTGGCGGCCTCATCCACTGCATCGAAGACTTCCACAAGTAGGCAACCTACTCTCCCTCCTGCAGCCTAATTGTCCCCTTGGGGTCTATTCTTACTGCCTGTATCTGGGCTTCACACTCTTCTCTCTCCGAGCTCTAGGATCTCCGGATTTGGTGGGACGTTAAAAAGAGGTTATTTATCCCCTGCTTCAATGCAGGAATTGATAATAGGTACTCCATGTGGTCCTCCAGCCTGGCCTCTGCTTCAAGACTTCCCTGGGGCTTATCCATCACATCTTTGTGTAGCTCTAATTATGAGGAAGTTGACTTAGCCGCAGAACACGTGTACTGGAAAGAGGCAGGATCCTGGGGTAGCTCTCCCGGGCCTAAACATGAACAAGATATGTGACAGTGGACAAATTGCCCAATTTCTCTGAGCTCTTCAGTTTGGTCATTAGACCAGACCCTGTCTTAAAGCTTCCCACCTGAGACAGCCTAGGGTTCTCTCTGGAGCTGACCTCTACGTCTTGGCCACTCTGCATATAGGAGGTTATGGGAGGGACTGGCACAGGGAACAGTTCAACCCCTCTTGCTAATGCAGCCTCTCACATATTTGGAGGCTATTTTATGCCATTATCAGCATATTCACACCCTCTGCTAAGCTCTACCCCACCCAGGTCTTCTCTTCCTCAGGATATTTTCTAATCTTTTGATGACGATTAAAAAGTAGAATCTTAAGGTCTAAGACCACTTAACTGATGGGCCTGGAAAATTATGTCACCACTTCCTCACTTCTCTAATTTGTACATCCCTCTTTATTATAGCTGGAATTTTCATGAAAATTGTATAGCTTTGGATTTTGCTTATTCCTATTTGGCCAGTTTGTTGGTTGGTTAATTGGTTGATCACATTTGTTGCATATTTCTAGGAACCATATGACAGCTATAGATGTGGTTTGTAAATGGCAGACACGGAGGTTTCTGGCTCGTGTTTGCTTCGCAGTGGCTTTAAGAACAGTCTGAGGCTCTCAGAGAGGTGAAGCTCATATGGCTCACCAGTTTGGGTATCTGTTCTATGGCCTCCAGATGTGCAGTCTTGTGGGTTAATTTTCACCGCTCTGTTGATTGTCAACAACTGGGAGGTACTTGCCACAAACAGTTTGGGGACCTGAGACTCATATTTTAAAAAAAGAATTTCCTGGGGCTTCCCTAGTGGCGCAGTGGTTGAGAATCTGCCTGCCAATGCAGGGGACACGGGTTCGAGCCCTGGTCTGGGAAGATCCCACGTGCCGCGGAGCAACTAAGCCCGTGAGCCACACCTACTGAACCTGCGCGCTTTAAGCAGCATGAATTAAGTGCTCAGGAAGGGGAGAGAAAGAAGCAATTTTTTCCAACTGAAGGTATTGAGGAAGGCTTTACCGCCTTCAAAATAGCAAATTGTGATTCCTTCTAGCATTAGCCAATGCACAGAAATATGGAAGTTTCTCATAGGTTTGAACAGAAGTGAGCAGTCTGAGACATCAGGGGAATCTGAGCCTAAAAAGGGAGTTCGCATGTCAGGTAAGGAACGAGCTACTTTCACATTGTGGAGCCATATAAGTTTTTCTAGCAAGAAAGCTGCTTGGTCACATCTGTGTTTTAGAAAGGAAACTGGAAGTCATTGTGAGGATGGGCAAGTGTTACAGGACGAGAGATGGAAACAAGAAGCCAGTCAGGAACTGTTGCTGTAGTTGTCATCATCACACTAGTTATCTACCTATAGGCACGCCTTGCCTCATGCCCATTTAAAGGTTCTAGTGGTAAGAGGGAAATTACTCCTTGATTTCCACATCCCTTCGACTTCTGCATGTTTCTAATCAGACCCCCATCCCAGGTTTATTCTAAATCGTAAACTCATTGAGTCCAGACTTCTCAGTTGGAAGATAGCATATTACATGTGAAACATGGCTATTGGTAAGAGAGCATGGTATTCTAGGCAAGGATGGAAAGTTAACAGCTAATTGTATCAATCTTTCTGAGTCCTGACTCAATAAATCGTATCCCTTTTAAAGCGGGGGCGGGGGGGATTTATTTTTAAAGCTGAGCATATTTTTAAAGCCAAATAAATTGACTTTCTTAATTCATTTCTCAAAACTGGAACCCCTCTAGGTTCAACATTTCCATCAAGAGTTCACAACACTAAGCGTGGACATGGTGTTTGAATCAAGGCTTTAAATGATCAAAAGCCTCATTGATTATGCTGAGCTCTGATTGGGTTCTGCAACCAGCATGCTCTCTACAAGTCTGGGTCATCAGAAAGACCACTCTGAAATGTTAAGGTCCTTGGTGACCCCGCTAGGATTTTGATGACTGATCAAGTTTTAGAAGTAATAGAGAAGTATTCTTCCAGTGGAGAACCTGGATTGTGTAGTTCAGGGGTCAAGAAACTATCGCCGTGGCCAAATCCAGCCTGCTTTTGTAAATAAAAGTTTTATTGAAACACAGTCATGCCCATTTACTTACACACTGTCTATGGCTGCCTTCCTGCCACTACAGCAAAATTGAGTTGCTCTAACAAAGCTAGAAGTATTTACTACATGGGCCTTTACAGAAAAGTTAGCTATTACCCCTGCTGTATTGGAAAGGAACACGAGTAGAAGTCAGACAACACGAGTTCTAAATCCTAGATTTGCCACCCAGAACCTGCATGACCTTAGAAAAGCCACTTGATCCATCTGTGTTTCATTCTCTCTGTAATGAAGATATATACTCTGCCTTCCTCCAAATACTGTGATAAGCACATGAGCCCATGTGTTCTGTAACAGTGCTTGTCATTCTATAAGTTACTACATAAATGGAGCTCTTCACGTCTTAGCCTAACGTTGGCGTTTTTCTTTTCCTCCTCAGAATACCCTGGAGCAGTGCAGCGTGTGCTCCAAGCCCATCATGGAGCGGATTCTCCGAGCCACTGGGAAGGCCTATCATCCTCACTGCTTTACCTGCGTGATGTGCCACCGCAGCCTGGATGGGATCCCGTTCACCGTGGACGCTGGCGGCCTCATCCACTGCATCGAAGACTTCCACAAGTAGGCAACCTACTCTCCCTCCTGCAGCCTAATTGTCCCCTTGGGGTCTATTCTTACTGCCTGTATCTGGGCTTCACACTCTTCTCTCTCCGAGCTCTAGGATCTCCGGATTTGGTGGGACGTTAAAAAGAGGTTATTTATCCCCTGCTTCAATGCAGGAATTGATAATAGGTACTCCATGTGGTCCTCCAGCCTGGCCTCTGCTTCAAGACTTCCCTGGGGCTTATCCATCACATCTTTGTGTAGCTCTAATTATGAGGAAGTTGACTTAGCCGCAGAACACGTGTACTGGAAAGAGGCAGGATCCTGGGGTAGCTCTCCCGGGCCTAAACATGAACAAGATATGTGACAGTGGACAAATTGCCCAATTTCTCTGAGCTCTTCAGTTTGGTCATTAGACCAGACCCTGTCTTAAAGCTTCCCACCTGAGACAGCCTAGGGTTCTCTCTGGAGCTGACCTCTACGTCTTGGCCACTCTGCATATAGGAGGTTATGGGAGGGACTGGCACAGGGAACAGTTCAACCCCTCTTGCTAATGCAGCCTCTCACATATTTGGAGGCTATTTTATGCCATTATCAGCATATTCACACCCTCTGCTAAGCTCTACCCCACCCAGGTCTTCTCTTCCTCAGGATATTTTCTAATCTTTTGATGACGATTAAAAAGTAGAATCTTAAGGTCTAAGACCACTTAACTGATGGGCCTGGAAAATTATGTCACCACTTCCTCACTTCTCTAATTTGTACATCCCTCTTTATTATAGCTGGAATTTTCATGAAAATTGTATAGCTTTGGATTTTGCTTATTCCTATTTGGCCAGTTTGTTGGTTGGTTAATTGGTTGATCACATTTGTTGCATATTTCTAGGAACCATATGACAGCTATAGATGTGGTTTGTAAATGGCAGACACGGAGGTTTCTGGCTCGTGTTTGCTTCGCAGTGGCTTTAAGAACAGTCTGAGGCTCTCAGAGAGGTGAAGCTCATATGGCTCACCAGTTTGGGTATCTGTTCTATGGCCTCCAGATGTGCAGTCTTGTGGGTTAATTTTCACCGCTCTGTTGATTGTCAACAACTGGGAGGTACTTGCCACAAACAGTTTGGGGACCTGAGACTCATATTTTAAAAAAAGAATTTCCTGGGGCTTCCCTAGTGGCGCAGTGGTTGAGAATCTGCCTGCCAATGCAGGGGACACGGGTTCGAGCCCTGGTCTGGGAAGATCCCACATGCCGCGGAGCAACTAAGCCCGTGAGCCACAACTACCGAGCCTGCGCGTCTGGAGCCTGTGCTCCGCAACGGGAGAGGCCGTGACATGAGAGGCCCGCGCACCGCGATGAAGAGTGGCCCCCGCTCTCCGCAACTGGAGAAAGCCCTCGCACAGAAACGAAGACCCAACACAGCCAAAAATAAATAAATAAATTTATTAAAAAAAAAAAAAAAAAAAAGCATTTCCTGACCACTTTTCAAGTAGCAGGGAAAGTGAAAGCCTCACCAAAAGATGTGAGGCTGAATAAATTTTAAAAAAACAAAAAAAACACCCAGAGGCAGGAATTCTCGACCTGAATTAGACAAGAAAGGGCTCACTTTGAAAGGGCAGTCACAGCATAAATTGTATTTCACGTTATTGATATTTTTAGCTTCTAATTACACATGAAAAAAAAAAACCTGCATCTATTTAAGGGAAGTGAAAAGATACCATTGGGGAGGGTATTTCTGTCACTGTTTCTCTCCTTTCTTAGACTTCCCCTAATCCAAGCAAGACTGATAGATATAATCAGAGCACACATGTTTCTGTTGCTGAAAAAGACTGATATGTTACACCCCTCAATTAAAACAGGAAATCAATTCTGACAAACGTAAGTTTATATCTATGCCATTTATCTTTCATTTCTAGGAGTGGGGAGCATAATTAGAGACTTGTGACTGGTGACATGTGTGTGGGTCTGAACACTCCAGGAAGGCAGACTTGAGCAACTGAAAGGGAAAAAGAATCTGAAACCCCCAATGCTTCCCACCACCGCTAATTCAGTGGCCAGTTAAAATACAGATTATTAAAAATCATGTTGTCTGCATGATTGGCAGGTATGCAAGGGGAGAAGCTTTTTGATCTTTTCTCCATTTCCCAAAGAAGAATAAAAGATACATTTTACAGAACTCCGTTTCTGAGTCTTGAAAGGACTGGAATAAAAAGCAGCTGCAAGTCCAACCCATTAGCCGTGTCTTAGCCATGGACGTTGCATGCTAAGAAGTGTGGACTGCAGAGAGGGGAACATAGCTGCCTCCTGCAGATTCTTGGTCATTCTGAACAGATCTCCCATTTGTGAGCTTTTGGGGGATATACTTCAATTCTGTTCAACCACATCTATGAAGAGCCCTCTCTGTGCCAATTACTGTGCTTAGTGCTAAAGGAGAGAAATCGCATAGGTAGAAATACGTAGAGAGAAGCCCTGGTCTGCAAGGAGCTTGCCAGGAGGAGGGGAGAGAATAAGTGCGGATTCTGTGTGATACCAGGCACCAGGCAGAAAAGACTGTAAAGGTGACGATGTGAGGCACAGGCAAGGGCTTGAGCTGTCAGGGCCAGAAGAAATTACTCGGCCCTAGGATCTGAGTAGGCTTCTGGAAGCAGAGTGTTTTAAATGGGAAATGGAGATTCTTGGCAGAAGGAACAACTCAGGCTATATCGAAGGGCCCAGAGTGAAGAAAGGCTCTCTGCTTTCAAGAAGGATCCGCTTGGCTGAAACTAGAACAGCCTGCAAATAGAAGCTATGGTGAGATGCAGGAGGCCCAGGAGAAGGGATTTATCTCTCCTGCTTAGAAACCCGTCCTTTAAACTGGTGCTTCCCAAACTTCAGTGGGCTTACAAGTCACCTAGCGATCTTGTTAGACTGCAGATTTTAGTTCAGGAGGTCTGGGGTGGGAGTGCCTAAGATTCTGCCTTTCTGACAAGGTCCCAGGTGGTCTTGGACTGCACTCTGAGTAATTACAAGCTTTTGAAATGCTATTTTTAAAGCCTTGCTTATGGGCCATCCCCTCCATAACTGCCATCAGTCAGGGTTGGCCCAAATCCTCCATCCTATTAGGCAGAAACTCTTGCCCATATGTCATTTCAGATGACTGCTCAAACTAGTTACCTGGTAGACTGCCTGTATCGCACCCTCACCCCCCCAACACACACACACACACACACACACACACACACACACACACACACACACAGACTTACTTTCCCTAAATGGCCATCTTTCAAGGCCCAACTCAATTATCATCTACTCTAATAATCCTCCTCTGATCTCAAACGCTCCCTAAACCCATGTTTGAGTTTATATCTCCTTCTCTATGTTTTATAGTTTTGTAAATTCACTATAGATAGCACTTTACATAGCCCGATTAGTAATAAAGAATACACACACACACACACACACACACACACACACACACACATACACACACACACACACTATTTTACAGTAACCCCCTTAAATCATTTTTGCAATATGGTAGGATACGTATATATGTTAATAGAACAAATGCAGAAATATATAGAACTCCCTCACCAGTGTGATTGCTGGAGTTTGAGTTTATTTCTGTATTCCCAGTGCCAGGACTTATTTAACTGACCCTTTCACTGTGTTGAGTCTTTATTCCACTATCTGTGCTTTCTTATCAGGGATGTTACATGCATCCATTTATTTGTTTACTCAGCATCCATTTGTGGATTGCCAGAAATGTGCCAGGACCCAATGATTAAGATCATCCCTCTCTGAGCTTTGGCTCCCGTGGCTGTAAAGCAGAAATGATAAAAGTATTTCTTAATAATGTTTGCTATCAGTAAAAAATAAGACTACGTGTATAGAGTGCTTAACAAGGCTTGGCACAATAATAAGCACACAATTTTAACCATCAGAAGTGTTTTTATCAAGTTAATTTTATTATTATTGTCTGCTTAGTGAGCTGAGCCTTGAAATAGACCACCTGGGATTTTTAACAATTCTCAAAATGCCGGCCAAGGAACACAGTGGGGACGGTGGAAACCACTTCCTGTCTCTTCACTTTGCCTTTTCCCATCATAGAAATGAGGCCAATTGGTAAGAAGAAATCATTACTCAGCAAGAATACAGTCTGTGCCTTTGCAGAGAGGAACCTTGAGATTGAACATAAAGGCCTGAGCAACATCTTTTTATGCGAAATGTGGCAAACACTTCATTCCATTAGATATTGCCTGACTTTCTACCTTCTGCACCAGCCACGCTAGTTATTTCTAGAAACTCAGAAATAGAGCAAATCCTGGCCTTTGGAAGCTCACAGTTTTGAGGTCTCCAAAGATATGCAGATAATTACTGCTAAAATAGGCAATTTCAGTGAAAGATATTTTATCCTCAAGGAGTTAGTAATCCTACTTGGGGACATTGGGGAAGACTCACAGATAAAGCGATAGGCAAGACACACTTCTGACCTCACAGAGTTTACAGTCCCATTGGGTTTGGGGAAGGAAATTTTGCAGCTGATTCCAGAAGGCTGCTTATTTCCCTACTGATGACCCAGATTCAAAAATAATCAAGTAGAGTCCAAAGCAATTTTTTTTGCCACTGAGTATGAGCTTCTTGCATAAAATACCAATTATAACAACTCTGATTACTGCCGCAATTGTACCATGATCCTTTAAATTTTTCTTTCATAGCAATCAATTGATCTGCTGCTTAATTCATATTTATTTAGATTGCAGCCATACAGATGCCTTTTGGGTGCTGCCAGGAAAATTAATGTGTACATATAGAGTATAATGTATGTAAAGATGCTTTGACAACCATAAAGTGCTCTGCAAAGAGTTAGATTACTATCATTATTTCTTTTTAAGTCTCTCTACAAATAGATAAATTTTAACGTCATTAATCTTAAAACCATTACTGAGCTGCTCAGTCAAACTGAGCTGCTCAGTCTTTCTTTTTTAATCTTTTCAGTTCTTATCCATGTCCGTTTCAAATCACGTCTCATTTCACACCTTCATAAAGACCACACCTAATTTCCAGAAGATACAGATGGGTGCACAGCCTATATTTGCAGCCTATTAATCTGTTACGAGAAAAAAAAAATGTTATGGCCATTGGTCATATTAAGGAATATTAAGAGATTAGGAAATATTAAAATTCCTCACCAAGAGTTAACCTCAAAAACATATGTATATGTGTGTGTGTGTGCGTGTGTGTGTTGGGTGGTGTATTCATATACACATACCCTTTGGAAGTTCTAAAATCCTTTGAAGAATAGAGAACTGGACAGCTTTATAATTTTTTCTTTTTAAACAAAAGTTTAACACAACCAAAATATAAGAATTGCAGATTTGGCCGTAGGAAGTTTGGTATAAAGAGTGTTTAAACTCGCTAACCTCTGCTGCTTTGAAAAGATACGTATTTGAGGTTTCTTGTGTTCATTTCTAGAATTCAAGACACATTTCAAAGAAGAGGCTTAATAATTGGGAATGAGGCAAAGTTACCAACCTCAGCATACTTGGGTAGGGCCTGGGGAGCACATACAAAAGTCTAGAAGCAAACGTCAGAAACAAGTAGGGGCCTCCTTGCCTCTCTGGCTGACCTGCCCAAGCCCAGGGTTTGTGTTTGCGATCTATCCACAGGTGAATCCCACTCCACGGTAGCTCTTCATGCAGAATCATTTCACACGCTCACTCCCCTACCTCACCAGGTATCATGGTATTTATCATCTAGAAGGACCTCAACAGTCACCAAGTGTGAGTCCCTTATTTTAAGCTGAGGAAGCCGACTCAAGGAAAGTGACTTTTGCTCAAGGTCACACAAGACAGCAGACCAGGTGTCCTGGCTCTTGGTTTACACCTTTTCTTTTCACCTCCAAGTCTCATCTTTTTTGCCAGTGTCTATGCTCAGTATCTAACCAGAACTATCTCTCCGTTTTCAGGAAGTTTGCCCCCCGCTGTTCTGTGTGCAAGGAGCCTATCATGCCAGCCCCCGGCCAGGAAGAGACTGTCCGGATTGTGGCTCTGGATCGCGATTTCCACGTTCACTGCTACCGATGTGAGGTCTGTGGTCAGTGCCCCCTCACCCTGCCGGGCCCATTAGAGCCGGATTTTCATAAATATAGCAATTATTAAATCTGGGGGAGCCCCTAGTGCCTGCGTTCATGGGACTTGTGTTTTACAAGAGGCCTGTAATCCAGGCTGGAAGTGACAAGGGAAGCTTCTTGCCCAAGGGCCATGTCTTCATTTATACAGCAAAGGGCAGCAAGTCTTTCTCCTCTAATCTGGGTATGAAAAGGTATAAAATCATTCAGAGAATGATTTTAAAACATTTTCTTATCCTCGTCCTGTGACTTACCCAGAGCCCCTCTTTGAAAGCACTTTTCTTGTTTTCTGCTAGTTTTTCTGAGTGCAGCAGTTCGCATTAGCTGTCTGCGAGAGATAGCATGAACTTCTTTATTACCACATCCTCATGAGACTGGCTCTTCTAGTCCCACGAGGAGATCTTCCCAAGACACAGGCTGGCGGGGCTGGCAGGGTGGCCCCTGCTCTCCAGGACTGCAGTCATTCCATTCACCGCCTGAGCTGTAACGACCACCTGTTTCATGCAGTGTGCTCTGTTTGGCCCTACATGCCTCTCTCTGGCCTTCACATGAACAAAGAGAATAAAAGACTAACAGCTTTTACACTAGGTTTTATGACTAAAGAGAAACAGTGTCCTCTCCTCCATGCTGTATCCTTTAGAAAGTACAGCAGGTCATTTCCCGCCACCCCCCTGCCCCCAAACCTTAAGATTTTATTTTCTTCCTAAAGTCGGAATAAGTAAGTAGAGCCCGTTGGTGGCCCTTCTGCTTAGCAGGAGTCAGTCTACAACTTAGCTTCTGCCCTGGAATTACCAGGAGATTCTGTCCCTGCACCTGTATATTACTTTTGAGAGATCCTTAACTTAATGATAAACGGCAGAGATGAATTAATGATTCGGGATCTATTCTTGTTTTATTTTCTCTCGTGCTTGTTCTCGTTGTTTGGGTGAGGGGAGCAAAACTACTAGTTGGGAGCCGAGACCCTCAGGTTCTTCTTTTCCTGTACCTGTATCTCCCATTAAGTGATCTCAGGAGGGTCATTTCACCCTGTTCATATTGATGTCCCCAGTCTCCACTTAAGCTTAATGCAAGACATACCATGTTATATCCTGCAGAAGGATTTGAAGAGGCTGGTGGTGTATGAAGAGGAAAGTTGGCCTCATTATGGAAGCCTTGAATGGAAAGCAAAGGAATTTGTTTCCATTTTCACTGATATCCTTTCCATCTGTCTTCCTTCTTCCAGGATTGTGGTGGTCTCCTGTCTGAAGGAGATAACCAAGGCTGCTACCCTTTGGATGGACACATCCTCTGCAAGACCTGCAACTCTGCCCGCATCAGGGTGTTGACGGCCAAGGCTAGCACTGACCTTTAAATCCAGTCACCTATTTAGCGGTTAGTTGGTGGCACTGAGAAGAATGAAACACAAGAAAAATATAAGAAGAGAAATAGGAAAAGAGAGGAAAGGCAATCAAGCTATGGGATGGTCTCTACTTCACCCACTATTAACCTTTCTTTAGAAACACATAGAGTATGAGATGTTTTAAAGTTCTTACCAAATACGCATTTCACATTTAATCATGTAGGACCTTGATGGGCCTTTGTTCCCAAGGACTTGCACATTTTTGCACGGATTATGCTCCATCCCATTCACTTCTGCATTCCTTTAACTTTTAATCCCTATGTTTGTCTCACTTTTCATCTGGTTGAATGGCTTTTTTTAGTGTGGTATTTGCTGTCACACAGCTTTTCCTGGGTGAGTTTGCCAACTCACAGGTGCTTTTAGGCTTGAAGGCTCCATCCTATCACTTCCACATTGCCAGTGAGCATAAAAGATAGCCATTCTTTTTCTGTGTATTGAAAAATAGATCTATCTGTTGCTCTAAACTAGTCGTGTCCCTTGGGGAAAGAAATGCACAATTATATGTCAGGCTATAAAGAATTTAAGCTGTAAATTACATAGGTTAAAAGAAGCCCGCATTGAATTTGCAGCCATCCTAATTCAAAATCTATAATGACCAGTGTTTGGGGCTCATTTGAAAACAGAGACGGGTGAGAGAGAACCAAACTTCAATATTTTTCTAAAGAAATTACAGATAGGGTATGCTGGATAAAGCATTTTGGGGTTATATTTGAAAAACTCATTATTACCCCAAAATATTATCTTAAGATTTTCCTTTTCCATGCTACCTGGACATAATAATATGGACAAACTTGGTTTTCTCTAGAACATAACATTTCCAATACTGTTCTGCTTTTCATGTCAGAAATATTGCCATTTTTTTTTTAATATCCAAACACAAGTACCAAAATTGACTTTTTCTCTAGAGGAAAATAGCTATAAAGAGCAGTTAAATTTTTTTTTTTTTCCAGGCCCAGGTTCTTTTTGCCTGACAGTTGCAAATCAGGGCACATAAAATTGTGTTAGTTTTGTGTAGTTTACTTTAAAAAGACAGGAAAGCTTGAAAAGATTGTGAAACCACAGTCTCATTATTCTTATAATCCTTCTGCAACTCAAATTACATACTGCAGAAGACATTTTCATATCATCGATGTGACATTTACACCACACTTTCAAAGACAATCACTGAAAAAAAATTGCCTTTTTGAGCTAAAAATATGCAGAGTCTCTGCCTAGAATCTTTATTCAAACTCTTATTGGGCAGTGAAATGTTTGCTTGCCAGCTCCAGGACCGCATATACTTTATTACGTTTTAACATGTTTCTTTTAAGGAAGGACACTTCTCTTAGTAGCAGGTTACCGTTTTGTAAACTAAGTATCTTGGATTAAGATTAGTTAAAACTTTCTTCCAATTTTTCACAAGTATATACTTTTAAATTATGAAGTGCTTTAAATATACACAAAAGTATAAATAATAATATAATGAATCTCTGTGCCACCCAGTTTAAGAAATCAAATATAACAAATATAGCTACATTCCCCTGTATACCCTTCCCTGATTCCACAGATATTTTTTCATGATTAGAAAGTGATAAAGTTTTCTAGTCTGACTTTTGTTTCTAATTTTTAATTTTAACACTCAGAAATGAAAAATTGTGCGTATTTTGAATTGCAACCCAGGCCTCAAGAGTCCCAATTAAATTTATTTTGTTTTAGTAGGAATAATCATAAAGGTGGTTGATTTTTTTTTTTTTTTTCTGTAAGAAATTCTTAAGCTTATAGCTCCTCTGAGTTAATCTGTGGCTCGTTTGCTTTGGTCCCCAAACGGTTTTGTTTTAGAACCACCACAGTTACAGCTTTTCAAAGGGTCCTTTGACCCTTGACTGTCCTTTCCTTACCTTGCTGCCCTTATCCTTGATCTCATATTTCTCATAACATGAAATACAAGGGGTCCACTTCGGGCAGCACGTGAATTTTAGGATACAATGGCAACTGTATCTCTGAATTTCTGTCTTCCAAATGAAAGGCCAGACCATGCGGATGATCTCCAAGAATACTGACTATTAGACAACTGAGGTGATAATGATAATATAATCTGCTTGAATTGTTTCAGTAACGTGTTTTCTATGAAATACTTGGGGGGAAATTGTCTTTTGGTCAAAAGCAAAGAGCCCAGTTTATTGAGAGATAGATTTTATCTCTTGAAGTGCAGTCCTGTTAGTATGAATTGGATTTTATCTCTTGGAGTGCGGCCCTATTAGTATGAATTTTGCCAAAGGAGGGAGAATTTATGAAATATTTATACTATAAAAATGCAATAACATTCTACTTGTTTGTTACATTTAAGTCCTTATGTAACTGAATGTTTACATGCCAAAAAAAAAAAAGAGAGAGAGAGTAATAAAAAAATGCTTTCACAGACCCCTCACTGTGGCATTGCCAGAATACTGCTTGCTTACAATCTTTATAGTGCATTTTTATCACATAACCTCAGAGTATCTTTACCAAAGATTTTTAAAGTAAATCTCTTTTTAATATAGACTTATCATACTTTTATAATAATGAATGTGCACCCCTACATATATAGATATTTAGATTTAGATTTTTTTTTTTCTTTCACAAGGTATAATAAGGAAAGGATCCTAAAATATTTTATTTCAGGATTTCTTAAATATATGATTTATATTGCTTTCTTATCTTCTATTAATCATTTGGTGTCAGCAATGCCAAATCACGTTTTACTGTTTTAGCTACGTGAAATTTTGCCTGTAACAGAGATATAAAGATCTAATACCTTAAGGATTATAATTCTACTGTCTTTTGATATATTGTCTTGATTGTTAATCATTTAAATACATAAATAATAGAAAAGAATCATAGAGTCTATAAGAGAGAGTTTGTAAAAATCTACTAAAAATATACTGGCTTTAAAAAAAAATTGTCCAGAACACAAATATTCGGTAATTTTATGTAACATGAGAGACATGGAAAAGGAAAAAGAAACCCACTGTGTCTTGGGCTCTGCAGACCGTTTCATAGTTAGATTTCTCCATTGCCTGGATCTCCAGCTCATGGCGACTCAGTGTGGAGTCTCATCTGCAAACAAATCGGCCTTTAAAACTCAAAAATAAGTCGTGTGTCCCAGCAGAGTGCATCAAGACTTTGAGATCCTGAACATCTCTGCAGCTCAAAGATGTGGGTTCTTTTTTCTTTCATTAACAAATTGTTTCTGTAAGAGCAACTTCTCTGATCAAAATTACTACATTGAGTGTATGCTGATTAATACAGTGGAGATATCAACAGTATAACTGTTTTCTCACTATGAACGATTCTGCAGAGATGTTTGTGATGATGTTTCAAGCATATAAAACTCTCAAGTGTTTTATGTTTGGGTCCCAGGGGGAAAAGAAGAGCATTTTACCATGGGGCTATGGTAGAGGGTTTATGGAATATAGACAGGACTCTGAAAACACAACTTCCAACAGTTTTCCTAGTTAGTAAAAATCCTATTAATGTGAACCAGCCAGCAGTAACAGTGTTATTTCTATTTGATATGTTTTGGGCTTCTCTTGTCAAATCTGTGTCGGCTGCCCCTTGATCCCTCCATTATCGAGTTTCGCAGGGTGTTGGGGAAGTTATGGCAGCTGCCAGGGAGATCAGGGAAACACTGATGTAACCTCACAGCCTCTCACCATTCCTCTTGGCTTGGAAAGGCTTTTTTTCCATATACATTTCTAGAAATATTGCTATTCTACCTTAGTATTTCACATTTGTAGTTTAAACAAGCGATTGTCCATCTGTTGCCTAGAGCTATAGTACATGTGTGTTATGAATGAAATATGACAGCATGTTCCATACCATGCTTTAGCCATCTGTAGGAAACCAGGAGGCTGGAAAAGATATACCTCTGCAAAATGTGCCTCAAGTTCATTTCCTGAGATCGCTCTTTTGGTGCACTTTCACGGGAGACAATCAGAGAGCAACATGTATTTGTGCCTTATTTTTAAAGAATCTTTACACTACTATGAATGCTCCACTGAAGAGTCTGTCACTTAAATAACCGTCCCCAAATCTCCAAGATATACTCATCAAAAAGTCAAAATCCAGAGAAATCTGAACTCTTCATCTGAATGTATTCTAACAGTATTTCTGTTCTCGCCATCTCTTAGAAGTACCTTACGGATTCCTAAATTAGGTAAACATTCTTATGCCACAGGGTGATGTCTTGGGTGTTGTTAGTGACTTAGTGGTCTTACTCCCATTTTAGTTAGATAATGAACACAGACTTCCACTTGAGCCTTTAACACCTATTCAGCATGTCCACTTTTTTTTTAATTGCCACGATTTTTTTATTTGTTGTTGTTTTTTTTAAATTTAATAGTGTACGGAACAAGTTGAGGATCTTGGTTCTGAGTCATTATTATGGTGCAAAATCATGAACATTTCAGGTCAAGTTATTTCCTTGACAGATAACTTTTCTCATGAAGCTGTTGTTTAGTTCACTTATATTTCAACCTTTAAAAAGTGATCTGATTAAAGCTGTGTGGTGTGGTGAGAGTTCTTCCTCTCTCTCTCTCTCTCTCTCTCTCTCTCTCTCTCTCTCTCCCC